TGTTGTTCTATTTTGCAGCTTTTATTGTAGTGCATGTGTAGAAGGCATGACATGTGATGTATATTTGATAGGTATTACTACTGTTATCATAGCAGTGTGTAGAAGGTATATGATGAATATTTGATAGGAATTCCTACTGTTATCATTGCATGCAGTGTGTAGAAGGCATGTGATGTATATTTGATAGGTATTACTACTGTTATCATAGCAGTGTGTAGAAGGTATTATTATAGGTAAAATACAAAATGATATTACTGTTTTGTTCTTTATTGTCAAAAATGTCAAAATAATATTGGTCCAGTAAAATTTAGTCCGGTCCAGTAAATTTTGCTGGCTTGGTGGACCGAATGTCCAGTGTTTAGAAATTTCATTCGTGAAGACTGCACAAGCCTCTCGATTCGATCCGGTTCTCGATATTAGCCTCTCGATTCGATCCGGTTCTCGATATTAGCCTCTCGATTCGATATTTTTTATATTTTCATTATTTTGCAATAATAAATTATTAGAAATTCGGTGGATCGTTACAGCCCTAATAGACTCTCACTCTACTTGTATATTCCCTCACCACACCTATCTACTCACCTCCACTCCCCTCCGTATACAAACACTGCCATGTCTCACCCATGTCTTTCTCGTTGTCGTACTCCCACAGCTTACTTCATAATCTGCATCTGAATGCACTAATTGCATAGACCCAATCTATTTGTATATTCCCCTCACCACACCTTATCTACTCACACTCCCCTCCGTATACAAACACTGCTATATCTCACCCATGTTTTTATCGTTGTCGTACTCTGACAACTTGCTCTCGTATATCGTGCGAATGCGAAGTTGTCGCTTGACGGCCGATATTAGCGGCGGTCGCTGGAAGAGGGCGCCTGTGAGCGTCTCCACCGCCTGAAACGTCGAGATTCGTACAGTACACAATCTGTTATCAGATATCTAAACCCTTGGGACCAGACACGTTTCAGAATTCGGAATTTTGCGGATTTCGGAATGGTAGCACATTACAAATACACATACCGTATATCCTGCAACTAGCCAGTACTAAAACCAAAGTTTTCAAGAGGCCAAGTGCTGTACCGGTACAGTACAATATGTAGGAATAATGTCAAACACATGAATATTTCTGCAGTAAACCTTGTGCAGCCAAACGCAAGCTTTGGTGTGCAGATGACTGGTTTTCAGTTTTCAGAATTTCGGATAATAGATTGTGAAGTTTAGTTAGATTTTCGGTAAACTAACTTAAGATGCCGAGGCTGACTCACTGAAGATAGCGAATGAATTCGATCAAACTCAATGAGGCAGTTTTGATAAAACAAGAAACTATTCACTGGCGAATAAATAATCACGGACAGTTACTAGCATTTCGTGAACACTTTAAAAGTTTACAGTGACAGTTTCGTTATGTTCTGTAATACACTTTATGGAATGTTTCCCCGACTTATAAACTCTGCATTGCTATACACGCAGCACAAAGCATCAGACCAGCCACGCTTCCACGTGCACACACGCACAATTATTTCCCAGGTTGCTATCTTTGTTACCTGTGCAAGTTTCTGCTGGCTTTCCACGGCACTGTGAAACCTCACCACAGCTACGTACTCCTTCCCGGCCCCCTGCTGGGATTTCACGAGTCGCGTAGCTCTCTGCACAGACAACAACAAGAATATTTAAATAAAGAGCACCTTAATTGCTACGTAAAACATGAAACAAATTACAAACTTAATAAAATCATACTGCTACAGTCATATGTCAGTATGCCTGATCCAGTAATGAAACGTCATGTTGCCTATTTGACCGGATACTTACCTGAATGCACACAATGAGACAGCCTGTGACTTTGGGATCCAACGTCCCACTGTGCCCAGTCTTCTCCACTCTGAGAATGCGTTTCACCCAGGATACCACCTCATGTGAAGACGGATTGGCTGGTTTGTCAAGGTTGATGAAACCACCCCTACAAAGCATTGTAACCCAGATGTTAACTAAATGCCATGCTTGACTACAGCACAGTAGCTACTCATTAGAAAGCATAGGTAATACTTCTATACAGGCTGATATAAAGAAGTGATGTACAACACAATGCCCTACATGTGATTTTACTCGAAGACAGGTCTTTGGATATTGTGTAGGATCGCTTGGGATTACTTCCCATGTAATTAATATACAGGGTATCCGCCGTATCCGGTGACATCAAACACGTCAACAACATGACGAAATTGAGCGCCAGAAATATCGTGAAAAGAGATGACCGAAATAAACTCACCTGACGTAGTCGGCTATGTCTCGCTTTAGCGGCGAACACCCGTGTGGTAATGGCGTATAATGCATAGTGCGTACGTTCAGTTTGTCGAAATTCTGCGTGCAACAACAATGATGGTGTAGGAGAAAACAAAGCAAACATCCACCACAAAGGCATTTAAATTTCACGACTGTGCCAGGGTTTCTTATACATAGGAGGCAGTGGCGCACCGCCGTTGTCAAATTTAACATCGCCATTGTGAACATGTTCCCGTATTTACTGATAAGTATATCCTGTACCTATATATATATACCTATAAGTATATCAATACATCCTGTATTTGAATCCATCATGCGCGTTTATTTCCCAAACTGGCGATTACCTCGTTTGTCTAATTTTCCCTCAGAAGAAACCCTGTGTCATAACACTACTAAATTGCTAGTAATCTCATACGATACCTTGAGAAGAAGAGGCCATTGTGATGTTTCAAGTTTGGCAGTTCCTGAAGATGGCTCAACCCTAAACTCTCCCTTCTGTTGAATTTCCTAAAAAAATACATAATTTCTGTCACTGTACACTCTACTATGGCTGGTGACAAAACCAGTGTTCAAATGTTTTATTTTAGCTACATCTACTCATATTCTACAATTAGACAATACATTTCACACACTTACAGCTAGTTCATTCACGTTATTCACTTTTCCACCATCCTTGCGTTTACTTTTCTTTTCTGATTTTGTCGCTGAAAGCAAAAGTAAGAACTAATTTAAACAAAACAGGGTGCAAAATTAACCGGAGTCCGGAGTCAAATACTCCCTGATTTACTGCCGGACTCCCTGATTTGACATTCTGCCATACTAACTAGTTCGTTCCAGAGCACGACCTCGCGGAATTACCGTATTTTTTCAGGAAATGTCCAAAGAAAATTTGGCAGACATGCAACAGCATGAATCTTCAAAATAAGCACATGTATGCGTTATTGTTCATATCTGTAATATTGAACTTCAGACTGCGGACTCTCTCATTTTGCCGTGGACTCCTCTTTTCGAGGGCAGGTAGTCCATTGGACTCCCTTGTGTTGTTGAAAAGTTAATTTCTACCCCTACAAAACATTGAAACTTTTTTTGGCTTGGTGTACAGGGAAAATCGCTTATGACACTAGTAGTACTAGTCTTAGTGCCGCACTGACAGTTTAGCATAACCTACACAAATGTTTTCTCGGTAGCAGGAATTGCTAATGTTATTCAACTTGGCAAAGCACAAGGTGCTTCACACAGGCATAAACAATCCTAGGTATAAGTACAAGATGAGCAGCCAATCTAGAAGCTGTGGAAATCGAACATGACTTGGGTATGTCACTCGTCAGCTCCGTGACATCAACACCAAGAGAGATTTAAGCCATTGTTCCTTATGGTTGACATACCTAAGCTATTGTGGATTGGATACCCTAAATTCACACCGAGCACCATGACGATGAAACAGTCTATGGAATTTGTTCATAGTTGTAAAATTATTGCATAAACATGCCAAGTTAACTCTTTTTTTCGCTCACTATTTTACTCTAACATTACACCGAGCAGTGGAAAAAATACACGGGGGCTCGGGGCGATTCAGCCCCCGAAATGCCAAAAAGAGCCCCCGGAAATTTGCATAGAGTTCAGTGCAAACCAAATTTTAGAGTGCTATTTTCTAGTCCGAGATTCCTCTGACCAATGCCCACACCGACGATTTTGGTGGTTTTGGTGTGGGTTAGGTCAGAGCAACTTGCCTATGCAAAACGTGGAATTTCTCCGATCCCGCCGAGGATCGCTGTTTCATTGCTCCAAACTCACAATTGGGGCTATCAATCAAGATCTGATGCACATATATCGAAAACTGGATAACTTATATGCTTGCTCGCGTTGGTAAGTACACTTGTACTCTTTTACCTTAGTCGTATTTCGATTTGAAAATTTGTTGCTCACAATTTCCCTCCCACACGCACCGGCCATCCATCGTTAATCCAACTGCGTTGGGGGAAACCACGCTACCAAAT